AAAGGGTATTTGCATGTTACCGTATCCAACAAAACAATGGCTGTCATTTATGGTATGTGATATTAAATGGCATGTCCAAAATATGATGGTATTTGCATGTTACAGTGTCCGAAAAAACAAACAAAATGGCTGTCGTTCATGATAATTGTTGTGTACATGGTACTCCATATTAGCACAAAACAAACTGTCCAAAAAATGGCATAACAACATAACCGCATATAACAAAACAAAATGGCTTTCACTTATGGTAAATGGTGTTTGCATGGCACACCACAGTACCACAAAACAAACGTCCCTAAAAAATATATTGCATGTCCAATAATTCAAATAAATTTGCATTCAGTAAATGGTGTTCTACTTCACAGAATACCATAAACCATGTCCCAAAATTATGCTTTTGCATACATTTCAGTATTGTTTATATCAAATTACCATGGTATTACCATCTGATACATCACGGTACCATTTTTCAGCCCGTTCTCATCCTTTAACGTCATATAGAACGCCATATGCAAAAACGGCGCTATACTACGCACATGGCACCCTTTATCGTAATATAACACGCGAACCCAAGACGTCATAAATCCTTTAGCGTGAATATGACACGCAGACCCTACCCCACACCTAAACTTAGCCCTCATAGTACATAGCACATATAAAAATGCAACGCATTCTCATCCTATAACATCATATAGAACGCTATATGCAAAAACGGCGCTATACTACGCACATGGCACCCGTTATCGTTAATATAACACGCGCTGTGAGGGCTAAGTTTAGGTGTGGGGTAGGGTCTGCGTGTCATATTCACGCTAAAGGATTTATGACGTCTTGGGTTCGCGTGTTATATTAACGATAAAGGGTGCCATGTGCGTAGTATAGCGCCGTTTTTGCATATAGCGTTCTATATGATGTTATAGGATGAGAATGCGTTGCATTTTTATATGTGCTATGTACTATAAAACATAATTCTTTTGCACTTTTAAGTGAATATTTGCCAAATTCAAGTAGCATTGTTGTACTGTATGCTATTTCCCTGCATACCATGGTTTTAACATGATTCTAATGTACAAAAAAAAAAAAAAAAGTAAATAAATAATGGTACTTTTGTACACAGCATTGAATGTCCAAAAACTACCTTGTCAAAAAAAAAACATCGTAATGTTAAATGCCTCACCAATAATATTAAAACAATTTGATTTTGGCTTTCAAAAAATTGTGTTATGCATTTACAGGTGCGTAAATAATTCATATGATATGAAATTGCTCAAAACGGACAAGACTAAAACGTTGAAAACTTCATCTTGTATTCACACATCATAACAGACGTGATCCGAAGAGACTAAAACACCAAATGTGTTTAAGTGTGTGTTTGTGTGTGAATTCCTCATTGTTCCAGGCCTGTACCACTCAAGACTCACACAGAACGAGAGAGAGAGACAAAACATGACTGTATGAGGACATTGGACACTGTGTGGGTTGTGTCCGGGCTCAACACATCTTTTGTATGAGATATGTAGCCTCTTTGTGTGCTCAGAGACCTTGTTTGCATTAGAATACTCAGTCTGGGGCTGGGCCGTCTCGGACGGTCAAGTGCACACCTCTCGCAGAAACCTTGAAACACACTCGCTGCAAGCTCCATCATGTCGAAGCAGACTTACTGTGTCTTCTCGGGTCACTTCATCCATCTGAATGTAAAATGGGGTATAAGTGCGCACCCTCAAAGCCAGACCTGCTCATCATCTCCACAGTCAGATACTGTTACTGATGTTATGGGTCTCCAGCTGTGGAGCAGAGCGTCACCTGAGGCCTGGCCATCTGAATCTGAGTCTCGGGACGTCTCTAAAGGGGCCACATGTGTGTCAGCACATTTATAGTCATTGATCCATCTATGAATGAATCTTTGATATGTCCAAAGAGTGTAATGTAGGCCTGTGTCCTAAGGCCCATTCACAACAAGGACAATAGCGATAAAAATACAGTTATATCAATCATTTTAAATATAAAAGAATGGCAGAGTTCACACCACAACTATGAATAATGACACGGAGGAACGATATCACTTTCAGAACTATTTTTTCCAGCTGATGAAGGATGAAAACATTGACAGCCAATCAGGATCCATCCTGCACGAGCATTTAAAGCGGCAGACGACAAACCTGCAGCGCTGGTAGACGCTACATGTAGTTATATTTAGGCTGTAGTTATCGTTCTTAGTGTGAACGGGCTTTTAGGTTGGTTTAAATTTTTATCATTATTTAGAATAAAGACCTGCTAACAATAACGTCTATAGGACGTCTCCTGTCAGATGTCAAATAGACGTTTAGAAGATGTTCTAAACGTCTATTTGACATCTGACAGGAGACGTCCTATAGACGTATTGCAGATGAGCAAACACTCTTAAAAATACGTCTTCCAGATGTAAATATTACATCAAATACACTTGTGCTATCTGGGGCATGTTTGTAGCCTAAAAAACATGTTCAAATGCAAACATCTTAGAAATTAGGTTTGTTGACGCTACCATTAAAAAAAAAAATATCATTACACTTTTTAATTACAATCTAAAGTGAAAGTGATGTTTGTTTCTTCCAAGAAGACTAACAAAATGAACAAACAAAGAAAAATAAATGGTTTACTAGAAAATTAATAAGACATAGCATAAATATTATAGGCTATTACTAACAAACAACAGTTTAGCTACCAAAGAGCATACAGCATAACAATTTAACCAAAATTGTTACATATTATTAAAAAAAAATCATTTTTTTGTTCGTGAATTTTTGTTTAAACTGTATGTAATGAGCTTCAACTAAAAGAAAACTAAAAAATATAAAAAAATCCTACTCGAAACGTGACGCTAAAAAAAATGAAACATAATAATCTCAGATCATGTTTGTGTGCATTTAAAACAAACCTATTTCATTATAAATGCAGTGTTTGAGCCTTAAAGTCCTAAAAGGAGGAACTTGTAAAGTGTCTGTGAATAAGCATTAAATATAAAGCCCTTCGCTCATAGTCATGCATTTTCTGGCCGTTACAAACATGTAGCGCGCTAATTAGCATGTTAGCATGCATAACGAGGAACCGCAGAGAACATTTGAACATCCCTCAACTTATCTGCTATATTTAGTGTGAGCTTGAAGTGCTCATTAGAGGCGAAACAGAGAAACACACTAATTACAGAGAGCATAAGGCCAGATATACCCTATACAGTGGCCCAGAGGCTGATTCTGAAACAAATACACAAACCTATATGTTCAAAGACGGAAACATCCGTCAGAAATGTTGCAAGGAAGATGGTATGGTAATTGCACGGCTGGGTGGAGTTACACGTGACAGCTGAATGCAAATGCTGCTCCGCAGATTCACTGATGATTTATTTAAAGGGAATTTCCCTCTGTGACCCGAACAGACAGCGAAACCCGCTCGCGTTCACCTCGTGCTGCCCTTTATAATCGTACAAGCTTTAGCACGTATTTACAGTTAAAGGTCAAAATTGCTGCAGGCATAATTAGATCAATGCAATGTTTATATTTAAGTGGAAAATTATATTTTGATACGCTATATCAAAATTGTGAGCTAAATTCAGCTTTAAATTCTCATTTTATACGATTAGCAACTGGATTTGGGCCTACACTAATATGACTTTTTTATTCCAGTGTGTTATGATAAGACCATTTCTATTTCCCGAATCACTGTAGGGACGTGGGGAAAATGAATAAGTCAGTGAGACAAATAATTTTTTTTAGAGACCTCAGTCAACAAAACCATTATTTCTATAAAAAAAAAAATATATATTTTCACCCCCTTTACACTGTATTTTTGAGGTTTTTTTTTTTAAACAAGTAAAAAAAATCTTTATAGGCCTACTCCCATTCACATTTATATTAAAATATTATTAAAGGCATTCACTAATCATAAAAAAATATGATATCCTCAGTGACAGTAACTAACATATTTACGAATCACAAAGACATTTGTATTTAAAACGTAGCCTATAGCCATAGTTCATTCTAGAAAAAGCTTGATAAAGTCTGTTGTACTCGCTTCTTTGTTGACAAGCGCCATCTTGTGGCTCATGTTTGTATTATAAAATCTTGTTTTTAAAGGAGTAGTTCACCTTAAAAAAAAAAAAAAAAAAAAAAAAAAAAAACAAACAAAAAAAACCTTTTGCTGATAATTTACTCACCCCCATGTCATCCAAGATGTCCATGTCATTCTTTCTTCAGTCGAAAAGAAATTAAGTTTTTGATGAAAACATTCTTTTTCCCATAAAGCCTTAGGTTACCAATAAGGTAACCTAACGGTTCAAGGCCCAAAAGACAGTTTCAGTGCAAACTGCAAACTGTTCAAAGGGCTTTAAACGATTCCAGACGATGAATAAGGGTCTTATTAAGCGAAACAAATGCTCATTTTAAAAAAAGAACAAAGTTTAAGTTTTATAAGCTCAAATGCTTGCCTTGCTCTGTTCTGTGATGCGCGTTCGTGACTCTCCTGTTAAAACTCGTTTATCAAAATGAACAAATCTTTTTTCGTGTCATTTGGTTCATTCAACAAATTGACTCGGGAAAGGATTCGTTCAAAAGAGAGTCACGATCGCATCACAGAACAAAGCAAGCCATTGGAGCTTAGAAAACTTAAACTTTGTTATCTGAAACGGTCTTTTCGCTTGATAAGACCCTTATTCATCATCTGGTTTTCTTTAAAGCCCTTTGAAGCTGCATTGAAACACTCATTTGGACCTTGAACCGCTTGGTTCCCATTGAAATCCATAATATGGAGAAAATCCTGGAATGTTTTCATCAAAACCTTAATTTCTTTTCGACTGAAGAAAGAATGACATTAGCATTTTGGATGACATGGGGGTGAGTAATTTATCAGCAAAAGTTTTTTAAAAGTGAACTCCTTTAAGCATATTACTATTAGCCTACGGTTTTTCTAGGCCAAGTTTGTTTGATAATGACAATTAATTATAATGAATTAAAAAACAACAGTAGTATTGTAAAAGCCATCTTTTATTATTTTTCGATAAGTTACATCTGCTTAAAAATAAACGTGTGTTGAGCGATTGAGAAAAACAGTGAAAAATAAGTTTGATGACAGCCATGTAGTGCAAAGTAACCTTTGCCTTAATTTCAACGCTCACTGACATTATCATGTAAGTTAGATGCAATAAGATTGTGCTTTGAAACAACACTAAAATAAAATAAAAACATCGTTTGTAAGGTCTTATTTTACAATACATTCAAAAACGCAATTTGATAGCCTAAAAATCAGATCATAAAGCAAAACCTTTACACGTGTGAATAAACATAATCGATATGCACAGATTCCACACAAACAGCATAATTATACAAAACGTTTTTTAACCTGAGGCAGAAACTTACGTTGTAACGGATCCGTCGGATCCGACCTGAATTCTCAAATGTACAGTCAAACTCTAATGTAAAACAAGAAATCAAAAGCATAATAACCACTAGTTAAAAAAAAAAAAAAAAAAAAAGATCTTTTTGAGACACTTGGTGTCAAATGCTGAGAAAACGTTTGAGCCTTAAACCTCGACGGTGACAGCAGGGCCGTTGGTGGTGCCCTCGGTTGTTATTGTTTTCTCGCTGTCTCCCTCTGCTGGTGAAGCCGCTGCAGTGCTGCTCTCCGAGGCTTGCTGTTCACTGCTATCTGGGTCTTTGCTGTCTGGGGCTTTGTCTGGGTCTTTGCTGTCTGCCTCTACCTTCTTCTCCTCAGCACCGGTAGTGCTGCTGGGCTCGACGAGTAGCGCCGTCGTTTCGTTGACGATCTGCGCGGTGTCGTTTGCAGTTGGTGTCTTTACAGAGCCGTTCTGCACCGGGAAAGCGCCCTCTATAGCCGCGTAGAGGAACTGATACTGCTCCTGAAGAGAGGTGACAACTACTTGAGCATTTTGAACGAGCAGCTAAAGATAGACTGTTCATTGATCATTGAAGAACTTTTGTCAGATATACGTTTGCAAACTACACTTAATTTTGGGTTGAAACCTCTTTAAAGCACTCTTTTAACATTTTAGCAAAGAAGGCTACGGTTTGAATTAGCACATGCTAAAATATACATGTAATTCATAGAACATTATAAAATGGCCATGAAAATGGCCTATTGTGCTTTTTTTTTTTTTTTTTTTTTTTGTGTGTGAAATATCTGTATTTTAAGGAAGCCCATTCTTGTGGCAGAGTGAAAATAAAATAATGTAATTATGGGATGAATATATAAAAAATTATGTTTTTAAAAATTATAATTGGTGCAATTGGGAGATAAATCTATTGTTTTTATTTACGGAGCAAAAACTTACGAATGTTTCCACCATTCCCTGCCTCTCCTTGCGCAAGTTTTTAACCTCTTGGAAGATGTCCACCAACTTTTCTGTCAATGCGTTGTCCATGAGATTCCATAAGGCACAGAAGATTCCGGTGCGCGACGATCCGTTGCTGGAAAAAAAAAAAGGAAATTTTGAAATGCATTTATCCATCCATCTAGGAAAGAAAAGCCTCTGGTATTGGGACTCACTTGCAGTGCACCACTACAGGGACATTCCGGTTCATTCTGCTGTTGTCGTAATTGCCGTTCTCTCTGATGTTCTTCGTCATCTCTATTAACTCCTGAGCGTTCTCTGGAAGTTCACTTCTCCATTTCAGGAACTGGTACTGATCCATCTTCAAGATCTCTTTCTTCTACAGTATTATAGGATCCAAGATGGATCAATTACTTCATATGTATCAGAAAACATGTCTGCAGTTAAAGGGTTAGTTCACCCAAAAAGTAAGACCTATTGTTTACACCGAGAATTCAATGCTGAATAAAGTCGTAGTTTTTGTTATTTTTGGACCAAAATGTGTTTCCGATGCTTCAAAACATTCACATGGACTACTTTGATGATTTTATCTTTTGACTACTTTGTCTTTATTTCTTTTCTGCACAAGGACAGTATACCGTCCATACATTTTCAATGGAGGGACAGAAAGCTCTCGGACTAAATCTAAAATATCTTAAACTATGTTCCGAAGATGAATGGGATTACGGGCTTGGAACGACATGAGGGTGAGTCATTAATGACATCATTTTCATTTTTGTGTGAACTAACCCTTTAATGACGACAGATATTCATGGCGAGGACAAAGACTTTGGTTACCTTTGAGGACTGTAGTTCCAGGTGCCGTCTGACGTATGTTGGGAAGCTTTCTGTCTTTTTCACCTCAATTTCCATCTCTCCGAACACTTTCTTCTCATCTCCCCAGTACTGACTGCAAAAATCCTGGAAAAAAATACAGATATGGCCTGAAAAACTGGGTATGTATGTATGTATGTATGTATGTATGCATCTATCTATCTATCTATCTATCTATCTATCTATCTATCTATCTATCTATCTATCTATCTATCTATCTATCTATCTATCTATCTATCTATCTATCTATCTATCTATCTATCTATCTATCTATCTATCTATCTATCTATCTATCTAGCTATCTATCTAGCTAGCTAGCTAGCTAGCTAGCTAGCTATCTCAGTCTGGTATTGTGGGAGGTCGTACCTTGCCGTCCTCTTGGCAGTTGGTGAGCATGACCAGTGTTTTAGCCTGTTGCTGATACAGCATGAGCAGGAACTCCTCTGTTGTGTTTGGTAAAGGCCCCTGTGCAGCGATCAGACTCTTCTGACACCAGTAGCCCTGTTGGAAAGCAATAACAAGCATATTTGGTTGAGTTTAACATATTATAATCACTTACTTCCATATCAACTATTAGGCTGCTACTTGCCCAGACAGCAAACTGACATTGAATCAACGTGGAAACGACGTCTCTCATGACATTGAAACAACGTTGATTTTGCTCATCGAATTAACGTTGAACCAACGTCAGACGCGACATTCTTCAAAGCTAAATGAAAATCGAAAATGGGTTTGCTTTCATAACGTTGAAACAACGCGTTGATTTCAAGTTGATTTTCCGTTAGTTTTGAAAGAATGACGCGTCTGACGTTGGTTCAACGTTAATTCGATGAGCAAAACAATGTCAGATCAACGTTGTTTCGATGTCATGTTTCTACGTTGATTCAATGTCAGTTTGCTATCTGGGTGGTTTTCTCATAAATCGTATATAACTAAGTCACAAATATATAAGAATGAAATAAAGCTTTTTATTCAAAAAAAGGAAGAAAGATGTTTTTAACATTCTAATTACTGTAATTGAAAAAAATTATATATTAGATAATATAAAGTCAATTTTTGTACACTAATGAATGAAGCGTTGATGTATTCATTCGATTCTTCTTCCTCATCTGATGAATAGTCTTCCTCATCCTCAGGGTCACTGGTCTGGTTGCCCTCAATGTCCAGTCTAAACAGGACTCGGTTAAAGTCATCTGCAACAGAAGTGTTTGCTGTTTACTCAGAATAAATAATGTGGTGTATATGTTCTGTAAATGTGATGTATAATGTTGTAACATGAATTAAGTTGGTGTTGATCACTCACATGGGATAACAGACGAGTAGCGGTTTTTCTTCTTGTTGTCCTCGCTGCTTCCTGTGTTGAATGTTCTCCAGTTTTTAAATTTGGGGAGTCTCTTTATGAAAAAACAACAAGAAAGCATGTTGCATTAATAATCTAATACACATACAGAACACTTCAGTGTCCATAACTAGGTGACAATCATAGGAGGACAAACCTGGAACTCCATTTCAAGCAAACTGGGTTCACTTCCATCTTTACGTCTGAGGGTGTTGAGCTCTGAGTGGAATTCAGCCAATGAGAGCTCTGTGTCTCCAAACTGGTTGTGCTCTATCAGACCGGTGTGGATCAGAATGTACTGGGCCTGAAACAATCAACAACACACACACGGTTAAATATGAATTAACCCGATGTAAAGCAAAGGGTGCTACAAAAGATTTTTTTGTCAGATTTTGTCACCCAAACAATTCAATTTTGCCAGACTTAAAGGAGTAGTTCACTTTAAAAAAAAACTTTTGCTGATAATTTACTCACCCCCATGTCATCCAAGATGTCCATGTCTTTCTTTCATCAGTCGAAAAGAAATTAAGGTTTTTAATGAAAACTTTCCAGGATTTTTCATTGGGCACCAAATGGTTCAAGATACAAAAGACAGTTTCACTGCAAACTAAACTGTTCAAAGGGGCTTTAAACGATTCCAGACGATGAATAAGGATCAAGCGAAACGATCGCTTATTTAAAAAATAAATAACAAAGTTTAAGTTTTATAAGCTCAAATGCTCACCTTGCTCTGTTCTGTGACGCACGTTCGTGACTCTCCTGTTCGAACTCGTTCATCAAAATGAACCAAATGACTCGGAAAAAGTTTTGTTCATTTTGATGAACGAGTTCGAACAGGAGAGTCACGAACGTGCATAGCAAGGCGACCAGAGCAAGGCGACCATTTGAGCTTATAAAACTTAAACTTTGTTATTTATTTTTTAAATGAGTGATCGTTTCACTTGATAAGACCCTTATTCATCATCTGGAATCCTTTAAAGCACTTAGAACAGTTTGCACTGAAACTGTCTTTTGGATCTTGAACCGTTTGGTTCCCAGTAAAGTGCATTATATGGAGAAAATCCTGGAATGTTTTCATCAAAAACCTTAATTTCTTTTCTTTTCGAAACTACTCCTTTAACTATCACATTCATGGTTTAACACATATTTTTGAAGTGTGAAATAAAGCATATTTGAAAAAAATAAATAAAATGATAAAACATTTGGCAAGACTTTGAGACCAAAATGGACCCAATATTGCTAGATTTCTTCGTAGTTAATAAAAAAACGTGTTTTTATGTAAATTTTTTTAAAGACAAACAAATTTAAAGTAGTCCTTATTTACTAATATTCCTTAAATAGTACTAGTTTAAATTTAAACTAGTCCTTAAACATTTAAATTTTAAATTAAATTCACCCAAAAATGACAACCATCCTGCCATTTCAAACACATAATACTTTTATTCGTCTTCAAAACACATCCTTTTGATGCTCGTCATGATTATAAAGCGATTGAGTCTCTTCAGACAATTTGGACTAAACTGCTCGATTCATATGGATTATTTTTACGATCTCTTTATGAACGCTTTGAAGCGTCAAGGTGGTAGTTGCGTCGCTGTCAATGGACGGACAGAAATCTCTTAGATTTCACTTAAAAGATCTTCATTCGTGTTTTGAAGATGAACAACATCAGGTTTGGAAACGACATAAGGGTGAGTACATTTTTTCATTTATACAAATAACATTTAGATATCAATCGAAATATAATTTTTGCATGTTCTCTTAATATTTAGCCCAGTTTAGGTTTATCATTTAGTTTATATGACCAAACTGAGTTTTCCTAACCAAACTTTTCCCCCTGCAGTCTCACTCACCTCCACTTGAACCATGAGGCAACGCTGGCGACGTAGTTTCGCTACAAATCCATAGATGTCCACTCTTCCCTCCGCCTCGAGACTTTCAATCATTGCGTCAATGCCAATATACGTTCCTGTGCGGCCAACACCTGCACTATAGACGACACGCCAACATTCACATTAACATTCATCAACTCCAACTGACCCTTTAGACAAATACCTTTTTAATCGATAGTGATGTCTACGGTCCCGTCTCACCTGCAGTGGACCACGATGGGCCCGCTGAAGAAGTTCTTGAAGGAGTTGACTCTTCTCCTGAGCTTCAGAAGCAGGCTGGGGTCTCCGGGCACTCCGTGGTCAGGCCAACTGATGAACTGGATATGAGTGACCTCTCTTTCTGGGGCTTTCTCTCGCTTCTGTACACACCCACACACTTTAATAAGTTAAAATCGTCTGAATAAAGCACGTAAGAATGTCCAGACCACACTTACATTGGCCAGGACCAGATAGCGAATGATATAATCAGGGCAGTGTTCCTCAGCTCGGATTTTCACGACAAAATCATCGAAAATCTCAGTCTCTCTGTCCAGACATGGCCAGTACTGAGCGCATTTGATCTGAGAGGACAAACATGCAGCAGTCAGTGGGTATCATTCACTTTCAGGGTCTTTATGATGAAGATGGATGAAACTGAGACTGAAGCAAAGACTGTTGTTATTGTTAACAAAAAGGTAAAGCAAAAACTACTAATAGTTTTTGGTAACTAAGATAAATTATAAATATTAAATTGAAAAAATTGTTGGAAATGTTGTGTTGGTAACTAACTAGCTAACGAATGAATGAACAAATAATATAATAAAATAAATACTCACTTTAAGTACAAATATTAAAACAAAAACTAAAGTAAAATATGTAGATATATTAAAGGAGTAGTTCACTTTTGAAAAAACTGCTGATAATTTACTCACCCCCATGTCATCCAAGATGTCCATGTCTTTCTTTCTTCAGTTGAAAAGAAATTAAGGTTTTTGATGAAAACATTTCAGAATTTTTCTCCATATAATGGACTTCAATGGGAACCAAACGGTTCAAGGTCCAAAAGACACTTTCTGTGCAAACTCTTCGAACTCGTTCATCAAAGTGAACAAATCTTTTTTCCGAGTCAATTCGTTCGTTGAATGAACCAAATGACTCAGAAAAAGATTTGTTCATTTTGATGAACGAGTTTGAACAGGAGAGTGACAGACGTGTGTCACAGAACAGAGCAAGGCGAGCATTTGAGCTTATAAAACTTAAACTTTGTTATTTATTTATTAAATGAGCGATCTTCATCGTCTGGAATCGTTTAAAGCCCTTTGAACAGTTTGCAGTTTGTACTGAAACTGTCTTTTAGACCTTGAACCGTTTGGTTCCCATTGAAGTCCATTATATGGAGAAAAATTCTGGAATGTTTTCATCAAAAACCTTAATTTCTTTTTGACTGAAGAAAGAAAGACATGGACATCTTGGATGACATGCGGGTGAGTAAATTATCAGCAAACGTTTTTTTCAAAAGCTTATTCGAAGGCTTATTCAAAATATTAATAAATACTATAATAGTAAATAAATACAAACTAGACCAAACACAACCACTCACCTTGTTTCCTTCCTCACAACGGGTGACCATGACAATAATGGATGACTTTTGCTCCCAAATCATTCGCCAGAAATCCTCAATAGTCTCATCCTTGGGTCCTGGACAACAAAAATGGAAATATAGCTATTATTTAAACCTCAGATCATTGTTCCATTTAATAATCTTGATTGTTGGCGTAGTCAATTTCCCTGCATTTTAAGTTTGCCAAGCAAAAGTGATAATTCAACATGGGGTCAAAGTGTGCGTTCATTGGCCGCTTTGAATGTGCCTCGGCCCATCACAATTTAGAATGATCACTACTGTTTTTTTATTATTATTTTCACTTGAACAGAAACACAATAATACAAATAATTAAGATCGCTATTGTCTAATAAGAGGAATTATACCTTGGGCTGCAATGTATTTCTTTGGCTCTTGATATCCCTGTATGGGAAGAAGAATAATTGATTGATATAAATTATAAGGTCAGAAATTGTGAAAATGATTCTTGTGCTTTGAAATATGTGCGTTTATACGGCCTCACCTCGATAAAGCTGGCATTGATGTAGTCACGTTCTCCTCCAGTTAAGAGAGGAACGCGATTATAGTCGTCTGCAAATCAATGCATAAAACGATCAATTCTCAGATTGAAAACTACAAGGAATTGTGGGTAACAGATGTTGTTATGAATATTTACAAGGCAGAATATCAACGTAGCGGTTCTTGGAGTGGTTTTCCGGTTTCTTTGCCTCTTTGACGGTGTAATTGGAGAAGATTCGGGGAATGCTCTGAGGAGAAGCAGAATCTCAATGCATTTCTCATTATATTTCAACAGCAGTTTGCAGATACTATAGATGTATCATATAAAGAATCACCTGAAACTCATCCATAAACAGACGACTCTCATCTGCGATCTTGGTCCTGTAAGCTTCGATTAAATTGTCTGCGTAGATGGGCTCAACTGGACGCAGGGGTTCTATGAGGAGACCGAGAACCAATGAGTTCTTCTCAAATCAGTTCACTTTTAAAATACACTGAATTGACTTTAATAGGACATACGTGTAAGAAGAATCTCTTCATCTTCAGGTTTCCTGTAGTAAGAAATCTCATCAGAAACAGATTCATATTTATGCTAATGGTGATACTATAATGATTTTATATCAATCGGAAATAATAGATTTGATAACTGACTGTTTTCTTCTGAGCAGGAAAATTTTGTACAACACAAAAAGCAGGGCAAGTGACGTCACAATGATGAGGAAAGTCAAGAATCCGATGACACCCTTATCATTATCTGAGAGAGGAACACACCACTTCAGATTTCTCAACATTTTATTATTGTAAACAAATGAATACTTTTTATGTTTTAATTTTATTTGATAACATAAAACGGCAAATCATTTTATAGGTATGTTAGAGTGAGAAAAGGTTGTTCTTACAGCTAGTGGATCGGGTAATTATAACAGTAGTCTGGTTCTGGTTACCATTTATGGCTGTAATCTGAATTTAATTGAATGAATAAATGAATTAATAAATGTGAAATCCAAATAAAAACATTGTAAATGTCATTCAGGCTGCAGCAAAAATAAATAAATACCTCAAAAGTATAATTTGTATGGTAGTAAAGATTTTCAAATTCAAATGAACAATCTTCGGCTTTACGATGTTGTTCAATTGTTCCTTTGTTCTTGATTTGGGCTTTATAATGACCTGGATCTCCATTCCACTCAATTAAAGAGCCCTTGCAGTCCACAGTAAAAGAATTGTGAGATTTTGGAAGTACCTTTACTTTATCCTTTGTAAATCCGGGATCTGTTTAAAATACAGAAAAAGAACAGTGTATATGTGATTGGAACTTGATAATTTTTGATCTTTATACACAAATAGAGATTAAATGTGTCTTTATTTCCAATAAGATTATATTATGACATTTCTCCAGTTATGGATTTATAAATTGCCCGTTACTGGTACTTCCAGGATATCTAATAATCTGGGATTTATAAATATGATGTATGTATTAATAGCAAAAATACACAGTATGATCTATTTTCAGAAACACATCTCTTTCAATCAGGGCAAAATATATAAAGAAAGCATTGTTAGTGACGACCGACGCTGGATAATCAAATAATTGAAAAAAGGCGTCGCTCACATAACAGGCAGTAATCTGACATATTTTGTGATGTCTTGGTCTTCTTTTTTTGGCATCACACTTTTTTAATATAGTTTACATTATGTAGGTCATAAACCTGCATATAAACCATTTCTTTACATATAAATATACAAAAGTTCAAAGTATGTAATAAATATTAAAAAAAAGTTACACTTACTGCCAGAAAGTGTTTTTATGTGATGAGAGATGCGATAAAAAAGGGGATTGTTCCTCGATATGTATGTTTTAGCCTCAATAGTGCAAGTGTAGTCGTGAAATGCACGTAATCCTTTAGTTTCATAGATTACGGGATTGGATTGGTCAGGTGTTAGGTGTTCTGAAAAGATAAATGGAAGACATGTACACTGTCAAGTTAACTTTGATTGATAAATGCATTGAAGTCCTCAAAATATGTATAGGGATAGTGTTCCACAAACAAAACTGCAGCATTTCTATATTTGGATTAACATGAGTGCGAGTAAACAATTATAGGATTTTTATTTGTGAGTGACTATTCCGTTAAACATCATTTCAAAATCTAATTTCAGTGATACTAAATTGCTACTATAGGGGAAAAAAGGTTTATAATTACTTTCTGTTCCACAAGAGCCTGAAAAATCAAATTTAAGCCCAGAGCAATTATCTCCAGGGGAAAATTTCCAACTGATCCGAATTGTGTCGTTGGTCACCAAAAGTACTTTAGTTTCATTTTTAAAATCTGTAAAAGAGAAAACAGAATTTAGGATCAAAGCAAAACAAATTCCTTTATACTAAGGGAACTTTATTACCCAGATATTTTATTAAAACTGACAGATTTTGTATTTGTATTTAGTTTATTTGAAGATCACAATCAAACTGACTTTTTTGATGCCATCAACATTTATTTTTAAATGTAGTAGAAAATGTATAGATTTTGTTTTAAACTTGTGCATTGTTTACCAACTAGACAAAAAATGTGCAAAAAAATCTCTCTTGCAAAGACTACATTTTTATTGTGCATAATTTCCAGTTAAGCTATAATTTCACCAAATTATGCAAAATAATGTGAAAATATTGCTTTATTGTGTGTATTTAGATGCATAAAATGCTAGCTGTGAAATTATCAAGAGCAAGACGAAGCAGGTGGACTTTTTATTCAAAATAATAATAATAATAATAATAATAATAATGATAATTAAAACCCCTAAAAAATCACTTCCACCACAGATTGCTACTGTATTAAACCCATCATTTGACATGGGGTGAAAATAATCATGACTTTAATAAAAAAAATATACTTTAAAATAACGTAACAGGGTTTTCTTTTATGCACACTGTTTGGAATTATTAGTGTACACATTAAATAAACTAGTAATGCACAGGGACCATAGTTGAAGAAACCCCAACATAAATACAATTAATAAAGCAAATAGAGTATAATGTTTTGTAAGTCATATTATTGTGAAATATTAGCAGGTGTTGGGAGCCATAGTCAGCAACTCACCACAACTGATGTTAACTTGGTTTTGATTGCTTTCAATGAACGTATCGTTATATGTGTATTGTCCAGTGCAGTTGTACATTTTGGAAGGTACCAAAAACACACTGTCATTCAAACCATATATAGCTCTATTGGAATCGTCTGCAAAAATAGAAAGCAAAAACACAATCTTTAGCAATATTACAGTTTATGCATCAATGTGAATATGATTTTCTTTTTTTTAAATATATTACTCATTAGCAGCAAAAACTTTTTTTTTTTTTTTTTTTTTTTTTTTACAAACAATGCCATTACTTACCAATGCACTGGACCTTCAATGCGCTATTTTCACAATTGTCAGGTTTTTTACTCCACGTAAACTTAGTTGGAATCGTTTTAATGAAAGTTATATTAGGTTTGACTAAAAACAACAACAAAAAACACACATTATGTGGATTAAAATGAGAAGCTTCTCCCCCATTCACTAGTGTAAATCATTGTTGCTACAAACTTTTATCTTTCAATATCATAATGCATTTTTTTGTTATTATATTGTAAATACATAATGTAAATGTTAAGTAATCATAATTATCAAATACACAAATTAAAAAAATAAAAACATTTGTATATAAATGTACTCTATGAAAGCCAAATACAAATTTTGCCCCACTAGTTTATTTATTTTAGGTTTAATTGATCAAATTCTCACCTGGGGGCATGTGGACGTTCATTGTGTACTCGCATGTGTCAAGTTGAAAGGAAACGTTCATATTTTTGCAGGAATTTTCATTTGTTATATTAACACATTTTGACAGATTCCATTTGCCATCCTTAAAACACACACTCTGTTCACCCTTAAGTGGTGCAGAATGGCTTACACTTTCAGTATCTAAAAAGAAATAAAGAATTTACAGGGTATCAGAGACATTACTTTCCATGTCTAGAAAAAAAAGAAGAAAAAAGAGAGGCAATGCAATCACATAAAACACAATTTCATAGCACAACATCAGGATATACAGTAAGCACAGTCTAAGAAAAACATAAAAATAAAAAAGGGTTTTGTCAGACGCCTCGGATATACTGTAGAATCTTTTAATAGTTCCCATCACGCGATAACTTTGTGGATTTAACTTATTAATTAATTTAGTTTTAATTAATTTAATTGTATCAATTAAGCAGCTAGTAAACGTACTTTATCACTAGAAAATTTCAAATAACAGTTAAACACAAAAGTATTGCGCAATCATTTAAGACATTTCTTCTTATATACGTAGAACCCATAAGGTTCTTTAAAATTGAGTCAAGAACCATAGTCTTTTATAAGGAACCCCATTTAACTTTTTTTCCCAAGTGTTCACTTTATTTGGCCAAACAATTAAACTGCTCATCCTCATGCTGGTTACATTAATTGATAGAAACCTACAGTTATGAATGCAAATCAAGAAATCAATTCTGGCTATGTTGAGCAGAGATAAACTCATAGACATATTACAAGCCCTTTCAAAAGAACTTCACATTAACATCTTACAAAATAGCAATACACGGTAAATAGAAATTTCTGTATGTAAATCACTTACCATTAAAATGAATAGAATTTCCAGCACTAGGCCGACAGCCCTCCACTTCGACGGTGTAGTTAGTGCATGGTTTTAACAGGTTAGACGGAATTTCACAGGGAGACAAATGCTTCTTTATACGCAGAGTCTCATTCTGATTCGTTAACATGATTGTGTACTCTTTAACAGTGCCATTCATATTCCACTCAAGGACTATTGATCCGTTCTCAGCCTGTGTAACGTTATATTCACCTGTCAGTGCAGAGGAATATCCACAAATCATAAGAATCAAAATTACATGCCCTCAACAACACAATCGAAGCTAAAAAAAAAACAATAGGTGCAATAAATAAATACTCACATGGGATTTGTGTGGTACCTGTGAAAAACATATTGACAAGTAAATCATCATGAGCCATGCAATTTTTATTTTTTAAGCAGTAATGGTTTGTACAGAGAGCGTGGTGTTACCCATGGTGAGACTGGTGGTGGGTGGGGGTAAGGTTGAGTTGGATTGACTGGAGGTGAGAATTGTGGTGGTGATTGTAGGTAAGGTGGCCACGCTCCCTGAAAGTTGTTGAGGTGATAAGTGACAACAAAAGAGTTAAAACTCGCTGACCAGGGTACTGAAGTACTGCAAACTCATTTAGCTGACTCTATTGCTTCACACAAATAAATGCATTAATACAGCATGACTAAAATGTGAGGTGTTGCATGGGGGAGAGACTACTTCGGCTGTTTTCAGGTTCACACATTCATCTAAATGATAATGTTACATTAAGTTTATCTTATAAGCGCAACAATATGGCATTATATTTAAGCATAATAACCTGAAGAAAAACTGATAGAAAAACGTATAAAAGAAGGAATTATATAGTAAATACAGTGTTCCCTGCAGTGGAACTGTTTTTTTGTTTTTGTGCAGGGATGAGTGGGGGTAAGAATGATGTGTTTTTCTGCTTTGTATCTTCAGATTTATCCCCTAAATGATAATGGTTATTAGATCAAATGTTTATCATTGAAATACTTTTACATTTAAATACGTTATAGTTGTATAAGTATTTAGTATAGTTGGACATCATGTGGCAACCCAACATAGTACCAGATTCCTTTATTTTTAAATGTCCTTGAATCAAAATGTAAAATGCATGAACTTAGCAATATATTTAAGCAAATTAAGCTGGAGAAAAACTGACACATTTCCGAATAAAAAAAAAAACCAAATATGAATAGAAACATGAAATACAACGTTACCTGTGGTTTGTTGTTGCGAGGGGTTGTGTGAGGGTGAGGTTGATGTGAGAGTCGGGTTCACTTTAGCACTGGTCCCTTCATGATTATGATAATTTGATCAAATTAAATCTTATAAATACTTTTTACAGTTATGAATATAAACATGAAATACAAGGTTAAACGTATGTTACCTGTGGTTTGTTGTTGCGAGTCGTTGCGTGAGGGTGAGGTTGATGTGAGAGTCGGATTCAATTCAGCACCGGACCCTTCATGATTATGATAATTTGATCAAATTGAATCTTATAAAGACTTTTTTACAGTTATGAATAGAAACATGAACAACAACGTTAAACGCAGTGTTACCTGTGGTGTGTTGTTGCGAGTCGTTGCGTGAGGGTGAGGTTAATGTGAGAGTCGGGTTCACTTTAGCACTGGTCCCTTCATGATTATTATAATTTGATCAAATTAAATCTTATAAATACTTTTTACAGTTATGAATATAAACATGAAATACAAGGTTAAACGTATGTTACCTGTGGTTTGTTGTTGCGAGTCGTTGCGTGAGGGTGAGGTTGATGTGAGAGTCGGATTCAATTCAGCACTGGACCCTTCATGATTATGATAATTTGATCAAATTGAATCTTATAAAGACTTTTTTACAGTTATGAATAGAAACATGAACAACAACGTTAAACGCAGTGTTACCTGTGGTGTGTTGTTGCGAGTCGTTGCGTGAGGGTGAGGTTAATGTGAGAGTCGGGTTCACTTTAGCACTGGTCCCTTCATGATTATTATAATTTGATCAAATTAAATCTTATAAATACTTTTTACAGTTATGAATATAAACATGAAATACAAGGTTAAACGTATGTTACCTGTGGTTTGTTGTTGCGAGTCGTTGCGTGAGGGTGAGGTTGATGTGAGAGTCGGATTCAATTCAGCACTGGACCCTTCATGATTATGATAATTTGATCAAATTGAATCTTATAAAGACTTTTTTACAGAAATGAATAGAAACATGACAAACAACGTTAAACGCACTGTTACCTGTGGTGTGTTGTTGCGAGGGGTTGTGTGAGGGTGAGGTTGATTTGAGAGTCGGGTTCACTTTAGCACTGGTCCCTTCATGATTATGATAATTTGATCAAATTTAATTTTATAAAGACTTTTTTACAGTTATGAATAGAAACATGAAATACAACGTTAAACGCAGTGTTACCTGTGGTGTGTTGTTGCGAGGGGTTGTGTGAGGGTGAGGTTGATGTGACAGTCGGGTTCACTTTAGCACTGGTCCCTTCATGATTATGATAATTTGATCAAATTGAATTTTATAAAGACTTTTTTACAGTTATGAATAGAAACATGAAATACAACGTTAAACGCAGTGTTACCTGTGGTGTGTTGTTGCGAGGGGTTGTGTGAGGGTGAGGTTGATGTGAGAGTCGGGTTCACTTTAGCACTGGACCCTTCATGATTATGATAATTTGATCAAATTAAATCTTATAAAGACTTTTTTACAGAAATGAATAGAAACATGAAATACAACGTTAAACGCAGTGTTACCTGTGGTGTGTTGTTGCGAGTCGTTGTGTGAGGGTGAGGTTAATGTGAGAGTCGGGTTCAGTTCAGCACCGGACCCTTCATGATTATGATAATTTGATCAAATTTAATCTTATAAAGACTTTTTTACAGTTATGAATAGAAACATGAACAACAACGTTAAACGCAGTGTTACCTGTGGTGTGTTGTTGCGAGGGGTTGTGTGAGGGTGAGGTTGATGTGAGAGTCGGGTTCACTTTAGCACTGGTCCCTTCATGATTATGATAATTTGATCAAATTGAATCTTATATAGACTTTTTTACATAAATGAATAGAAACATGAACAACGTTAAACGCAGTGTTACCTGTGGTGTGTTGTTGCGAGGGGTTGTGTGAGGGTGAGGTTGATGTGTGAGTCGGGTTCACTTTAGCACTGGACCCTTCATGATTATGATAATTTGATCAAATTAAATCTTATAAAGACTTTTTTTACAGTTATAAACATAAAATACAACGTTAAACGCAGTGTTACCTGTGGTGTGTTGTTGCGAGGGGTTGCGTGAGGGTGAGGTTGATGTGACAGTCGGGTTCACTTTAGCACTGGTCCCTTCATGATTATGATAATTTGATCAAATTGAATTTTATAAAGACTTTTTTACAGTTATGAATAGAAACATGAAATACAACGTTAAACGCAGTGTTACCTGTGGTGTGTTGTTGCGAGGGGTTGCGTGAGGGTGAGGTTGATGTGAGAGTCGGGTTCACTTTAGCACTGGACCCTTCATGATTATGATAATTTGATCAAATTAAATTTTATAAAGACTTTTTTACAGAAATGAATAGAAACATGAAATACAACGTTAAACGCAGTGTTACCTGTGGTGTGTTGTTGCGAGGGGTTGCGTGAGGGTGAGGTTGATGTGAGAGTCGGGTTCACTTTAGCACTGGACCCTTCATGATTATGATAATTTGATCAAATTTAATCTTATAAAGACTTTTTTACAGTTATGAATAGAAACATGAACAACAACGTTAAACGCACTGTTACCTGTGGTGTGTTGTTGCGAGGGGTTGTGTGAGGGTGAGGTTGATGTGAGAGTCGGGTTCACTTTAGCACTGGTCCCTTCATGATTATGATAATTTGATCAAATTAAATCTTATAAAGACTTTTTTTACAGTTATAAACATAAAATACAACGTTAAACGCAGTGTTACCTGTGGTGTGTTGTTGCGAGGGGTTGTGTGAGGGTGAGGTTGATGTGAGAGTCGGGTTCACTTTAGCACTGGACCCTTCATGATTATGATAATTTGATCAAATTTAATCTTATAAAGACTTTTTTACAGAAATGAATAGAAACATGAAATACCACGTTAAACGCACTGTTACCTGTGGTGTGTTGTTGCGAGTCGTTGTGTGAGGGTGAGGTTGATGTGAGAGTCGGGTTCACTTTAGCACTGGTCCCTTCATGATTATGATAATTTGATCAAATTGAATTTTATAAAGACTTTTTTACAGTTATGAATAGAAACATGAAATACAACGTTAAACGCAGTGTTACCTGTGGTGTGTTGTTGCGAGGGGTTGTGTGAGGGTGAGGTTGATGTGACAGACGGGTTCACTTTAGCACTGGTCCCTTCATGATTATGATAATTTGATCAAATTGAATCTTATATAGACTTTTTTACAGTTATGAATAGAAACATGAACAACAACGTTAAACGCACTGTTACCTGTGGTGTGTTGTTGCGAGGGGTTGTGTGAGGGTGAGGTTGATGTGAGAGTCGGGTTCACTTTAGCACTGGACCCTTCATGATTATGATAATTTGATCAAATTTAATCTTATAAAGACTTTTTTACAGAAATGAATAGAAACATGAAATACCACGTTAAACGCACTGTTACCTGTGGTGTGTTGTTGCGAGTCGTTGTGTGAGGGTGAGGTTGATGTGAGAGTCGGGTTCACTTTAGCACTGGTCCCTTCATGATTATGATAATTTGATCAAATTGAATTTTATAAAGACTTTTTTACAGTTATGAATAGAAACATGAAATACAACGTTAAACGCAGTGTTACCTGTGGTGTGTTGTTGCGAGGGGTTGTGTGAGGGTGAGGTTGATGTGACAGACGGGTTCACTTTAGCACTGGTCCCTTCATGATTATGATAATTTGATCAAATTGAATCTTATATAGACTTTTTTACATAAATGAATAGAAACATGAACAACAACGTTAAACGCAGTGTTACCTGTGGTGTGTTGTTGTGAGGGGTTGTGTGAGGGTGAGGTTGATGTGATAGTCGGGTTCACTTTAGCACTGGTCCCTTCATGATTATGATAATTTGATCAAATTTAATCTTATATAGACTTTTTTACATAAATGAATAGAAACATGAAATACAACGTTAAACGCACTGTTACCTGTGGTGTGTTGTTGCGAGGGGTTGTGTGAGGGTGAGGTTGATGTGAGAGTCGGGTTCACTTTAGCACTGGTCCCTTCATGATTATGATAATTTGATCAAATTGAATCTTATAAAGACTTTTTTACAGTTATGAATAGAAACATGAAATACAACGTTAAACGCAGTGTTACCTGTGGTGTGTTGTTGCGAGTTGTTGTGTGAGGGTGAGGTTAATGTGAGAGTCGGGTTCAGTTCAGCACCGGACCCTTCATGATTATGATAATTTGATCAAATTTAATCTTATATAGACTTTTTTACATAAATGAATAGAAACATGAACAACAACGTTAAACGCAGTGTTACCTGTGGTGTGTTGTTGTGAGGGGTTGTGTGAGGGTGAGGTTGATGTGATAGTCGGGTTCACTTTAGCACTGGTCCCTTCATGATTATGATAATTTGATCAAATTTAATCTTATATAGACTTTTTTACATAAATGAATAGAAACATGAAATACAACGTTAAACGCACTGTTACCTGTGGTGTGTTGTTGCGAGGGGTTGTGTGAGGGTGAGGTTGATGTGACAGTCGGGTTCACTTTAGCACTGGTCCCTTCATGATTATGATAATTTGATCAAATTGAATCTTATAAAGACTTTTTTACAGTTATGAATAGAAACATGAAATACAACGTTAAACGCAGTGTTACCTGTGGTGTGTTGTTGCGAGTCGTTGTGTGAGGGTGAGGTTGATGTGAGAGTCGGGTTCACTTTAGCACTGGACCCTTCATGATTATGATAATTTGATCAAATTTAATCTTATAAAGACTTTTTTACAGTTATGAATAGAAACATGAACAACAACGTTAAACGCACTGTTACCTGTGGTGTGTTGTTGCGAGGGGTTGTGTGAGGGTGAGGTTGATGTGAGAGTCGGGTTCACTTTAGCACTGGTCCCTTCATGATTATGATAATTTGATCAAATTGAATCTTATATAGACTTTTTTACATAAATGAATAGAAACATGAACAACGTTAAACGCAGTGTTACCTGTGGTGTGTTGTTGCGAGGGGTTGTGTGAGGGTGAGGTTGATGTGTGAGTCGGGTTCACTTTAGCACTGGACCCTTCATGATTATGATAATTTGATCAAATTAAATCTTATAAAGACTTTTTTTACAGTTATAAACATAAAATACAACGTTAAACGCAGTGTTACCTGTGGTGTGTTGTTGCGAGGGGTTGCGTGAGGGTGAGGTTGATGTGAGAGTCGGGTTCACTTTAGCACTGGTCCCTTCATGATTATGATAATTTGATCAAATTTAATCTTATAAAGACTTTTTTACAGAAATGAATAGAAACATGAAATACAATGTTAAACGCAGTGTTACCTGTCGTGTGTTGTTGCGAGGGGTTGTGTGAGGGTGAGGTTGATGTGAGAGTCGGGTTCACTTTAGCACTGGTCCCTTCATGATTATGATAATTTGATCAAATTGAATTTTATAAAGACTTTTTTACAGTTATGAATAGAAACATGAAATACAACGTTAAACGCAGTGTTACCTGTGGTGTGTTGTTGCGAGGGGTTGCGTGAGGGTGAGGTTGATGTGAGAGTCGGGTTCACTTTAGCACTGGACCCTTCATGATTATGATAATTTGATCAAATTAAATCTTATAAAGACTTTTTTACAGAAATGAATAGAAACATGAAATACAACGTTAAACGCAGTGTTACCTGTGGTGTGTTGTTGCGAGTCGTTGCGTGAGGGTGAGGTTAATGTGAGAGTCGGGTTCAGTTCAGCACCGGACCCTTCATGATTATGATAATTTGATCAAATTAAATCTTATAAAGACTTTTTTACAGAAATGAATAGAAACATGAAATACAACGTTAAACGCACTGTTACCTGTGGTGTGTTGTTGCGAGGGGTTGTGTGAGGGTGAGGTTGATGTGTGAGTCGGGTTCACTTTAGCACTGGTCCCTTCATGATTATGATAATTTGATCAAATTAAATCTTATAAAGACTTTTTTTACAGTTATAAACATAAAATACAACGTTAAACGCAGTGTTACCTGTGGTGTGTTGTTGCGAGTCGTTGTGTGAGGGTGAGGTTGATGTGAGAGTCGGGTTCACTTTAGCACTGGACCCTTCATGATTATGATAATTTGATCAAATTTAATCTTATAAAGACTTTTTTACAGAAATGAATAGAAACATGAAATACCACGTTAAACGCACTGTTACCTGTGGTGTGTTGTTGCGAGGGGTTGTGTGAGGGTGAGGTTGATGTGAGAGTCGGGTTCACTTTAGCACTGGTCCCTTCATGATTATGATAATTTGATCAAATTGAATTTTATAAAGACTTTTTTACAGTTATGAATAGAAACATGAAATACAACGTTAAACGCAGTGTTACCTGTGGTGTGTTGTTGCGAGGGGTTGTGTGAGGGTGAGGTTGATGTGAGAGTCGGGTTCACTTTAGCACTGGTCCCTTCATGATTATGATAATTTGATCAAATTGAATCTTATATAGACTTTTTTACATAAATGAATAGAAACATGAACAACAACGTTAAACGCAGTGTTACCTGTGGTGTGTTGTTGCGAGTCGTTGTGTGAGGGTGAGGTTGATGTGATAGTCGGGTTCACTTTAGCACTGGTCCCTTCATGATTATGATAATTTGATCAAATTTAATCTTATATAGACTTTTTTACATAAATGAATAGAAACATGAAATACAACGTTAAACGCACTGTTACCTGTGGTGTGTTGTTGCGAGGGGTTGTGTGAGGGTGAGGTTGATGTGACAGTCGGGTTCACTTTAGCACTGGTCCCTTCATGATTATGATAATTTGATCAAATTGAATCTTATAAAGACTTTTTTACAGTTATGAATAGAAACATGAAATACAACGTTAAACGCAGTGTTACCTGTGGTGTGTTGTTGCGAGTCGTTGTGTGAGGGTGAGGTTAATGTGAGAGTCGGGTTCAGTTCAGCACCGGACCCTTCATGATTATGATAATTTGATCAAATTTAATCTTATAAAGACTTTTTTACAGTTATGAATAGAAACATGAAATACAACGTTAAACGCACTGTTACCTGTGGTGTGTTGTTGCGAGGGGTTGTGTGAGGGTGAGGTTGATGTGAGAGTCGGGTTCACTTTAGCACTGGTCCCTTCATGATTATGATAATTTGATCAAATTGAATCTTATATAGACTTTTTTACATAAATGAATAGAAACATGAACAACGTTAAACGCAGTGTTACCTGTGGTGTGTTGTTGCGAGGGGTTGTGTGAGGGTGAGGTTGATGTGTGAGTCGGGTTCACTTTAGCACTGGACCCTTCATGATTATGATAATTTGATCAAATTAAATCTTATAAAGACTTTTTTTACAGTTATAAACATAAAATACAACGTTAAACGCAGTGTTACCTGTGGTGTGTTGTTGCGAGGGGTTGCGTGAGGGTGAGGTTGATGTGAGAGTCGGGTTCACTTTAGCACTGGTCCCTTCATGATTATGATAATTTGATCAAATTAAATCTTATAAAGACTTTTTTACAGAAATGAATAGAAACATGAAATACAACGTTAAACGCAGTGTTACCTGTGGTGTGTTGTTGCGAGTCGTTGCGTGAGGGTGAGGTTAATGTGAGAGTCGGGTTCAGTTCAGCACCGGACCCTTCATGATTATGATAATTTGATCAAATTAAATCTTATAAAGACTTTTTTACAGAAATGAATAGAAACATGAAATACAACGTTAAACGCAGTGTTACCTGTGGTGTGTTGTTGCGAGGGGTTGCGTGAGGGTGAGGTTGATGTGAGAGTCGGGTTCACTTTAGCACTGGACCCTTCATGATTATGATAATTTGATCAAATTTAATCTTATAAAGACTTTTTTACAGTTATGAATAGAAACATGAACAACAACGTTAAACGCACTGTTACCTGTGGTGTGTTGTTGCGAGGGGTTGTGTGAGGGTGAGGTTGATGTGAGAGTCGGGTTCACTTTAGCACTGGTCCCTTCATGATTATGATAATTTGATCAAATTGAATCTTATATAGACTTTTTTACATAAATGAATAGAAACATGAACAACGTTAAACGCACTGTTACCTGTGGTGTGTTGTTGCGAGGGGTTGTGTGAGGGTGAGGTTGATGTGAGAGTCGGGTTCACTTTAGCACTGGTCCCTTCATGATTATGATAATTTGATCAAATTAAATCTTATAAAGACTTTTTTTACAGTTATAAACATAAAATACAACGTTAAACGCAGTGTTACCTGTGGTGTGTTGTTGCGAGTCGTTGTGTGAGGGTGAGGTTGATGTGAGAGTCGGGTTCACTTTAGCACTGGACCCTTCATGATTATGATAATTTGATCAAATTTAATCTTATAAAGACTTTTTTACAGAAATGAATAGAAACATGAAATACCACGTTAAACGCACTGTTACCTGTGGTGTGTTGTTGCGAGGGGTTGTGTGAGGGTGAGGTTGATGTGAGAGTCGGGTTCACTTTAGCACTGGTCCCTTCATGATTATGATAATTTGATCAAATTGAATTTTATAAAGACTTTTTTACAGTTATGAATAGAAACATGAAATACAACGTTAAACGCAGTGTTACCTGTGGTGTGTTGTTGCGAGGGGTTGTGTGAGGGTGAGGTTGATGTGACAGACGGGTTCACTTTAGCACTGGTCCCTTCATGATTATGATAATTTGATCAAATTGAATCTTATATAGACTTTTTTACATAAATGAATAGAAACATGAACAACAACGTTAAACGCAGTGTTACCTGTGGTGTGTTGTTGTGAGGGGTTGTGTGAGGGTGAGGTTGATGTGATAGTCGGGTTCACTTTAGCACTGGTCCCTTCATGATTATGATAATTTGATCAAATTTAATCTTATATAGACTTTTTTACAGTTATGAATAGAAACATGAAATACAACGTTAAACGCAGTGTTACCTGTCGTGTGTTGTTGCGAGGGGTTGCGTGAGGGTGAGGTTGATGTGAGAGTCGGGTTCACTTTAGCACTGGTCCCTTCATGATTATGATAATTTGATCAAATTGAATTTTATAAAGACTTTTTTACATAAATGAATAGAAACATGAACAACAACGTTAAACGCACTGTTACCTGTGGTGTGTTGTTGTGAGGGGTTGTTTGAGGGTGAGGTTGATGTGACAGTCGGGTTCACTTTAGCACTGGACCCTTCATGATTATGATAATTTGATCAAATTAAATCTTATAAATACTTTTTTACAGTTATGAATATAAACATGAAATACAACGTTAAACGCACTGTTACCTGTGGTGTGTTGTTGCGAGGGGTTGCGTGAGGGTGAGGTTGATTTGAGAGTCGGGTTCACTTTAGCACTGGACCCTTCATGATTATGATAATTTGATCAAATTAAATCTTATAAAGACTTTTTTTACAGTTATAAACATAAAATACAACGTTAAACGCACTGTTACCTGTGGTGTGTTGTTGTGAGGGGTTGCGTGAGGGTGAGGTTGATGTGAGATTCGGGTTCACTTTAGCACTGGACCCTTCATGATTATGATAATTTGATCAAATTTAATCTTATATAGACTTTTTTACATAAATGAATAGAAACATTAAATACAACGTTAAACGCAGTGTTACCTGTGGTGTGTTGTTGCGAGGGGTTGTGTGAGGGTGAGGTTGATGTGTGAGTCGGGTTCACTTTAGCACTGGACCCTTCATGATTATGATAATTTGATCAAATTTAATCTTATATAGACTTTTTTACATAAATGAATAGAAACATGAAATACAAGGTTAAACGCAGTGTTACCTGTGGTGTGTTGTTGCGAGGGGTTGTGTGAGGGTGAGGTTGATGTGAGAGTCGGGTTCACTTTAGCACTGGTCCCTTCATGATTATGATAATTTGATCAAATTGAATCTTATAAAGACTTTTTTTACAGAAATGAATAGAAACATGAAAAACAACGTTAAACGCAGTGTTACCTGTGGTGTGTTGTTGCGAGGGGTTGCGTGAGGGTGAGGTTGATGTGTGAGTCGGGTTCACTTTAGCACTGGACCCTTCATGATTATGATAATTTGATCAAATTGAATCTTATAAAGACTTTTTTTACAGAAATGAATAGAAACATGAAAAACAACGTTAAACGCAGTGTTACCTGTGGTGTGTTGTTGTGAGGGGTTGTGTGAGGGTGAGGTTGATGTGTGAGTCGGGTTCACTTTAGCACTGGTCCCTTCATGATTATGATAATTTGATCAAATTAAATCTTATAAAGACTTTTTTACAGTTATAAACATAAAATACAATGTTAAACGCAGTGTTACCTGTGGTGTGTTGTTGCGAGGGGTTGTGTGAGGGTGAGGTTGATGTGAGAGTCGGGTTCACTTTAGCACTGGACCCTTCATGATTATGATAATTTGATCAAGTTAAATCTTAAAGACTTTTTTACAGTTATGAATATAAACATGAAATACAACGTTAAACGCAGTGTTACCTGTGGTGTGTTGTTGTGAGGGGTTGTGTGAGGGTGAGGTTGATGTGAGAGTCGGGTTCACTTTAGCACTGGTCCCTTCATGATTATGATAATTTGATCAAATTAAATCTTATAAAGACTTTTTTACAGTTATAAACATAAAATACAATGTTAAACGCACTGTTACCTGTGGTGTGTTGTTGCGAGGGGTTGTGTGAGGGTGAGGTTGATGTGAGAGTCGGGTTCACTTTAGCACTGGTCCCTTCATGATTATGATAATTTGATCAAATTAAATCTTATAAAGACTTTTTTACAGTTATAAACATAAAATACAATGTTAAACGCAGTGTTACCTGTGGTGTGTTGTTGCGAGGGGTTGTGTGAGGGTGAGGTTGATGTGAGAGTCGGGTTCACTTTAGCACTGGACCCTTCATGATTATGATAATTTGATCAAGTTAAATCTTAAAGACTTTTTTACAGTTATGAATATAAACATGAAATACAACGTTAAACGCAGTGTTACCTGTGGTGTGTTGTTGTGAGGGGTTGTGTGAGGGTGAGGTTGATGTGAGAGTCGGGTTCACTTTAGCACTGGTCCCTTCATGATTATGATAATTTGATCAAATTAAATCTTATAAAGACTTTTTTACAGTTATAAACATAAAATACAATGTTAAACGCACTGTTACCTGTGGTGTGTTGTTGCGAGGGGTTGTGTGAGGGTGAGGTTGATGTGAGAGTCGGGTTCACTTTAGCACTGGTCCCTTCATGATTATGATAATTTGATCAAATTAAATCTTATAAAGACTTTTTTACAGTTATAAACATAAAATACAATGTTAAACGCAGTGTTACCTGTGGTGTGTTGTTGCGAGGGGTTGTGTGAGGGTGAGGTTGATGTGAGAGTCGGGTTCACTTTAGCACTGGTCCCTTCATGATTATGATAATTTGATCAAGTTAAATCTTAAAGACTTTTTTTACAGTTATGAATATAAACATGAAATACAACGTTAAACGCAGTGTTACCTGTGGTGTGTTGTTGTGAGGGGTTGTGTGAGGGTGAGGTTGAGGTGAGATTCGGGTTCACTTTAGCACTGGACCCTTCATGATTATGATAATTTGATCAAATTAAATCTCATTAAGACTTTTTTACAGAAATGAATAGAAACATTAAATACAACGTTAAACGCACTGTTACCTGTGGTGTGTTGTTGCGAGGGGTTGTGTGAGGGTGAGGTTGATGTGTGAGTCGGGTTCACTTTAGCACTGGTCCCTTCATGATTATGATAATTTGATCAAATTTAATCTTATAAAGACTTTTTTACAGAAATGAATAGAAACATGAAATACAACGTTAAACGCAGTGTTACCTGTGGTGTGTTGTTGCGAGGGGTTGTGTGAGGGTGAGGTTGATGTGAGAGTCGGGTTCACTTTAGCACTGGACCCTTCATGATTATGATAATTTGATCAAATTTAATCTTATAAAGACTTTTTTACAGAAATGAATAGAAACATGAAATACAACGTTAAACGCAATGTTACCTGTGGTGTGTTGTTGCGAGGGGTTGTGTGAGGGTGAGGTTGATGTGAGAGTCGGGTTCACTTTAGCACTGGTCCCTTCATGATTATGATAATTTGATCAAATTAAATCTTATAAAGACTTTTTTTACAGTTATAAACATAAAATACAACGTTAAATGCATTTTTACCTGTGGTGTGTTGTTGTGAGGGGTTGCGTGAGGGTGAGGTTGATGTGAGATTCGGGTTCACTTTAGCACTGGACCCTTCATGATTATGATAATTTGATCAAATTTAATCTTATAAAGACTTTTTTACAGAAATGAATAGAAACATAAAATACAACGTTAAACGCAGTGTTACCTGTGGTGTGTTGTTGCGAGGGGTTGCGTGAGGGTGAGGTTGATTTGAGAGTCGGGTTCACTTTAGCACTGGACCCTTCATGATTATGACAATTTGATCAAATTGAATCTTATAAAGACTTTTTTACATAAATGAATAGAAACATGAAAAACAACGTTAAACGCAGTGTTACCTGTGGTGTGATGTTGCGAGGGGTTGCGTGAGGGTGAGGTTGATGTGAGAGTCGGGTTCACTTTAGCACTGGACCCTTCATGATTATGATAATTTGATCAAGTTAAATCTTAAAGACTTTTTTACAGTTATGAATATAAACATGAAATACAACGTTAAACGCAGTGTTACCTGTGGTGTGATGTTGCGAGGGGTTGCGTGAGGGTGAGGTTGATGTGAGAGTCGGGTTCACTTTAGCACTGGAGCCTTCATGATTATGATAATTTGATCAATTTAAATCTCATTAAGACTTTTTTTACAGTTATAAACATAAAATACAACGTTAAACGCACTGTTACCTGTGGTGTGTTGTTGCGAGGGGTTGCGTGAGGGTGAGGTTGATGTGAGAGTCGGGTTCACTTTAGCACTGGTCCCTTCATGATTATGATAATTTGATCAAACAAAATGTTACATTTATGTGTAGGTATGATTAAAAAAGGTGAAATAAAATAAGAAATAATTTAATGCAAACATTAATGATTTATTAAAATATGAATAAGAACTGAATTTGATTGAATTGATATTTAACATTCAATATTATACAAGGCTTAGCGATATTAAATGATATGAATTTGCACAAAAATACCAAAACTTTATTGGTTGCATATAAACAACAAAAGGTACTTTAATAGAAATATGTGATAATTGTTTTTGATATAATTTTTCAATATGTATTCTTACCTTCCAAATAAGATTTTAAAAAGATTTCAGCTTTCATCACCTTGAAAAATCTTACTTGCGAATGACTATAAAACACTTACTGCAAGAGAGTAATTCAAAAAAGAAGATAATCATTACCTTCATTGAGTGAATTTGAGGTTTCTGGATTGGTGGGTGAGTTTGAGGGGCCTGTGACTAAAGGGAAAAGCAAGATCATTTTAGCTCATCCAGTATGGGATCTACGATTACTGGAAGACCAGACCACCTACATTCACCTTCATGTACCCTGTATAGGTCACTTGTAGATGCACACTGTGTTGCTGCGGGTTGGGTGCGGGAATGTTCCCAGGACAGATTTCCGTATTACCAAATGCATATTATATTATGATAATGAATGAATGAATTAAACAATTCAAAGCACAGGAACTGAATTTTTGATTAACAAAATTAAATGATTAATATTACTGCATTGCAGGATATTAAATGTGAAGCCTGCATATATGGGTTTGCTTGGGTCTCAGATGATAAATAAATAAAATATAAATAAATGAATAGCAGCTCTTGCTCAGTGATGGTGTGCTTGTAGCACGGCATGATAGGAAGATGGAGGTCAGAGTGTGAGAGATTGTGTGTGAGAGAATAATAATAATGCAGGAGTGAGTTTGATGAGGTGATGTCAGCGTTACCTTTTGGGTTAGATGCAGGTGTGGTAGATGCAGGTGTGTCTGGTGACGTGGTGGGAATGACTGTAATGATAGATTGACAAGCATATAATTTACATTTCTGGCCCATAAGTTCAAATCAGGCATCAGTATCCGCATAAAGTGAAACTTACCGTTACTGTTCGGTTTTGAACATGCAAGATAAACCGTTATTAATTAACTGATTAATTATCTGAGAATCAACAGAACCGCTTTTGTGCCAAAGAGAAGGGTTTTCTGCTGCTTTTTAAAGGGCTTTACTATATGCACAATTATGTGGCTGGTTGCATTTTATTATTTGCATTTTGCGATGTTTTTTTCATGTTTTCATATTTTTTTGATATGCTGTCAGAACTAACACAGTCTCATCCCAAAAAGTCATATAACTGACGTCTTGGGACGTCTTTTGACCATACGTCAATATCCGCCTTTTTAGGGCCCCCTTAAACGTCGGTAGATGGCGATCCCGGGCCGTCATACAACTGACGCTTTACCTTTAACGTCAGTTAGGTGACGGGTTAGGTTTAGGTCTGGGGTAGAGTTAGAATCCCATAACCTCATCTACCGACGTTTAAGGGGGCCCTAAAAAGGCGAATATTGACGTATGGTCAAAAGACGTCCCAAAACGTCAGTTATATGACGTCTTGGGATGAGACCGGGTTGTCAGAACACATATGTAATTCATCATTTAAAAAACGATTACAGAGGAATGCATGGATATAAGAGAAATGATGCTTAAGAAATTCTAGAAATGGGTATCATTTGAATATATATATTATTGTTAGGCCCACTATGGATACATGGATACTTTCCCACCCAGTCCTCCCGGGACCTGCAGAGACATTTTTGCTTTTTAGCGGTGTGTTGGGGTTCCAGCCATCTCAACCAAACGAATCAATGGAAATGAGCTTATCAATGCATATCTAAATTCGCGCCTATGGTAGAACTTAAAAAAAGATAAACAACGTGAAGAGAAACTACGGTAGAAAAAGACCTCCACGGACAATTTTAAATGTTTTATCAGACAAAAACTACTCAATTCAGGACAATTAGGGATGGATTCAGGGACAACAGCTTAGATTTTGGGACTGTCCAGGATTTTTTGTGACGTCTGGTCACCCTAGCCCAGTCTGTTGTGATCGGTCTACTCTGCTCTGATTGGTCAGATGGCCCAGTCTGTTGTGATCACTCTACTCTGCTCTGCTCTGATTGGTCAGATGACCCAGTCTGTTGTGATTGGTCTACTCTGCTCTGATTGGTCAGAGAGCCCAGTCTGTTGTGATTGGTCAAGTGTTAATTTTTAAGTTACAATTTTTATTTATTTATTGGGGTATTTGGTATTTTAATGGTTGCAGAACTTGCCATGAGTGCAATCTGTGCATAAATCTAGATCTCATGGTTTCAGGGTCGTTTGAGCACATGATCTTTATGATAAACAAAAATTATTATTAACAATAAAAAATGATCGTAAATGTGAAGCCTGGTGTGGCCTAAAAGGGCTCGCTTGGGTCAAACAAACAAATGAAAGGATAAATAATTCACTAAATGAGAGCATAATAAATAGATAGATAGATAGATAGATAGATAGATAGATAGATAGATAGATAGATAGATAGATAGATAGATAGATAGATAGATAGATAGATAGATAGACAGATAACACCTCTTGCTCAGTGATAGTGTGCTTGTAGCACGGCATGATAGGAAGATGGAGGTCAGAGTGTGAGAGATTGTGTGTGAGAGAATAATAATAATGCAAGAGTGAGTTTGATGAAGTGATGTCAGCGTTACCTTCTGGGTTAGATGCAGGTGTGGTAGATGCAGGTGTGTCTGATGACGTGGTGGGAGTGACTGTAATGATAGATTGACACTTGTATTTTGTGAAAATATGTCTAAGCACATCACATTCTCACATATGTATTTCTGACCCAAAAGTACAGCTCACGACACATACACACACTACCGATAGATTTAATCGACAGAAAGCATCACTGGCATAACAGGAATAGCATGGGTAAAAAGTAGCATGGGTAAAAAAAAAAAAAAAAAAACACATACCTCCTGGTGAACCTGTGGAGAATGTAAGATGAAACTTTATTAATTAAATGAATAAGAATTACATTATGCGACTGAACTTTTAATTAATTGAATTTTTTCTAGGAATCAAAGGGTGATTGCACTGAAACTACTACATCATGACCCCACCAAAACACAAAACATCTGTTGGCAGTACGATCACATTTACAGGTAATTCAAATAAAAAATAAAATCTAATTTATTTAGATTAGCCTAATACTAATCAATGACTGCAGTTACTGTTTACCACAATGATGATGTGAGTTTGAAGGACAGAGATAGTGGTGTTGAGATGGCGATGCAGAATGATAGAAGGATGGAGGTCAGAGGTCATAGGGGAAACGGATTGATAGAGAGAGGTAAAGCTGGAGTGTGTATCTGCTGTGGGTGGTCATGAGTGTTTGGTGGTTACCTTCAGTGAAAGGTTGGGGGTTTGTTTCAGTGGGACCTGTTTGCAGTGTTGGGGAGTAGTTAACTACAAGTAGCGAAGCTACTAACTTAACTACATTTTTCAGTAGCTTGGCAGTAGCTCAGTTGCTTTTTAAACAGTGTAGCTTTTTCAGTAGCTAACTACTCTTTGCAGCAAGTAGCGGTGTAGCGCGAGCAAAAGCTACATTGCTACATTATCGAGCCTGCGCGAATCAGCCCGATGCAAGGATATTCTTCATCTTGTTAGATTACAAACTCATTTTTTGCCAGTACCGCCACCTGTTGTTTGCACGCATCTTGCGGCTAACGGTTCACTGACGTAAAGAAGTGGGTTGACAGTGACACACCCAGGTGACGGCAGATTTTGAGGATGGAGAAACAAACGTTAATTACCCATGGTCTTATTTGTCCAAGTTCAATCGTTATTTTTGAGAAAATGTTCTAAATGCAATTTATGTTGAATGTATATTTCGTTCTTGCAATGTAGTAGGCTATTTTTTGCAATTTTGCACTTTTGACAAACAGTCTGAGATATTTGAGTGTTGCGTGTAATAAAACAATACTCTATGAAATCATAATTGTATTGCATTGTTTTAAACACAAAATATTTGAATTAACATTCATCAGACACTTATTCAGTTATTTATAATATATAATTTATAACATCTTATAATAATTATAGGTAATATAACATTTATAGTATGTTGTTCAAAAAGTAAAAGTAGTTTCAATGTAGCTAGCTACTTTTTGATAGTAACTTGTAGTGTAGCTAACTACTTTTCCAAAAGGGTAGCTTGACTGTAGTTTAACTACTTTAACGTACGAGTAGCTTGTAGCTTGTCAAACTACAGTTTCAGAGTAACACTGCCTGTTTGACATAATCATATAGTTTAAACTGGATCCAAAAACAGTCCTTACACATAAAGTTTAATAAACCAAATTCAGTACTAACCACAACAAGCGAAATTACATTAAATATTTTTATATACAAGTCATGCGTACAGGTGAGGGGCTTGCGGCTAAAGGAAAAAGCAAGGTTATTTTATTTTAGTCAGCTACGGGACATGAATACAAACACTACAAACATATACAAAAGACCAATGAAGCATGTTCTCTAGCAAGATTTTAAATTAGATCTATGTTGATGAAACCAATATCTTAAAAGGTAGAAGTATAATAGCCAATCTCAGTTTTAACAACATTTGAAACTTCTTTTAGAAAAAAATCCTAGATGATATAGAGAATGTATACTCAACAGTATAACCATCAATGACAATATTTTGAATTATTTACCAAGACAGGCTGTATTTGACATCTTAGTACCAAGCAAAATGAATGGTTACACTTTATTGTGATGCTTCCAATTCTACTGACTGTAAGAAAGTTTGCAACATGTCAACTAACATGAGCACCTAACAGTCTACTAATAGTTGACTTGTAGTACAGCGTTACTTACAGTCAAGAGAATGTCTAAAGGGGCCCATCAAAATAAAGAGTAACCAAACAAAAAAATGAAAAAAAAAAAGCTGTTTAATTCAGAAACAAGTCAACTATTGCACACCGAAACACTCACACAGTATATTCAAGCAGTTGAATTCTTTGAAACCGAGAGAAAGACTGGCACCGTGTAAAACCATTGGCTTCGGTCAGGACATAGGGAAGGGAGTTGGTCTGTAGCTACGTGGTGCGACCTGGTTGCCATGGAAACGCAGAGCGCGCACAAACTATTTCAGTTTCTCAACCACAGCTTCCTGTAGCTTGACAAAACCCCTTCCCCCTTCTCAAGGCTCAGGCACTTTGCTTTCTTTTTTATTCTGTTCGCCGATGTACAGTCGTGTCACTCACATACAGAACGAATGCGGAAGGGGGAAGGCTCAAATGTACTCGTGCTTTAGATAATAATATCTATAGATATGCTAATTATTTTTATGTAGCTCGCTTTTTTTTGACTACATCATTGCAAGTCTAAATAGGTATTGCCTATCAGTGCATTGCTCTAATGCAAGGCCAAGATATACCATTGATTTGGTGATTTGCAACCCTAAGATACCCGAGATATATCACTTTTAGCATTCTGAAAAAACTTCCAAATATCTTTCCTTAACTTTTAACTGGCGTTTATTCTCGAAGCGTCAGAGCGTCAGTCCTTTTCACTTACTTTCTTTGCCGGATGTGGTTTTGCTCGACTTGGTTCACAACTCGAGGTGCGTGCATTTTGAGAGTGGCTGTTTTAGCAGGTCCACCCATTACATGGAACATGGCAGCAAGAGAATAATGCCTTTAAACATCATTATTGTTGCTTTATCCATCTCGTTTTCAGAGGATTCCTTTTAAAAACTTTAAATCTTTTCATTTTGACTGCCTTGTCAAACAGATAACAGTGATCGTAGGGAAGTCTGAACCTAAATCTCCTGCAAGATGATGTTTGACCTGTTTTTAAAGAGCTATGGAAACCTCCAATCTGCACTACATCCACAAACATGGACTTTTAAAACAATGTATATCAAGTCGATTCAGTAATAATGGCGATACGCATTCGTTTTTAAGACAAAAGGCCCAATAATGCACATTTTTAGACTATGGAAGTTCAAATAATTCCTTTTTAAAACTTTCAAATTCTTTCACCACATTGTAAAAGATGTTTTTCAGTATACATAGTTCATCGTTTTTACTTGTTACAAAAAAATTATGCAATTTCAATGCAGGCAATATTTGACTTAAGTTTATCATATTTTTTTGTATATTGATATTTTGGTAGAATTGGTAAAAACTAAAGGCCATAAAGCTACAGTACATAAAATGAAAGTTCTTACTAGTACGCTAGTTAAAACCAACTATTTTAACTTTAACACCAAAGTTGCGACATGTATCTCCCATTAGTTAAAGTTACATACACTGTAAAAATGAATGTGCTTTATCTAATCAATAGAATTGTGGCAACAGATTACAAGCAGTATTATTAATTAAATTTAACAAATTAAAATTGAGTAATAATTAATAAAAAAAATTCTTAAACATTAACCATTTAAAATGAGTAAAGTTTACACCAAAAAAATTTACAAAAATATCTCACTAACAAACAGACTTCAAAGATTAATTAAGATCTCTTTATTTTATATTGCCAACATTGAAGACACCTGATGTTAACAAGCAGAATCACTGAAGGAGAAAACCGTCATTTTAAAACAAACCTAAAACAAACACCGATCACCATAATGGTGACTTCAATTTATGTTTTTTTGGTTGTTGTTGTAAGTTTTACTCATTTGAAATGAGTAACTTTTAATGAATTAATTTGATTAATTATCACTCAATTCTAATTTGCTATATTTAATTAATAATATTGCTTGTAATCTGTTGCCACATTTTTTTTTTTTTTTTTTTTTTTTGATTAGATAAAGCATATTCATTTTTACAGAGTGGTTAAAAAAATTGCATTTATTGTCATAGGTGAAAATGTATTTACAATTGCATTCAAGAAAATGGTTTTCTGAATAATTGCTGTTTTGTAAAAAATTCTAATGATAAAACAATAAATTCCTCTTCTGACAAATGACCCCAAGCAGTCGCCACAACCCAAAATAATGCAGGTGGGTCTTTCGGTCAATGCAATGTGACAAAGTTACCGCAGAGATCAAGCATGCGTCTATATGGCTTTAAACGGAAGCCTTTAACGGCCTCATTCATGAGATGCTCATATGAATTCAACACTAATTCAATGACAAAACAATCGAACAAATGTAAGAAAATCGGGTTTTGACGATACAGTGCACTTAATGTCTGACAAGTCAGTTTAATGTAATTTAAGTTGAAATGACATGAACATTCAAGTTGATTGTACTTAAAACAGCAACTTTTTTACACAGAAATTGGTGTAAATATACGGTGTAAATAATAAATAATAAATAATAAATTGGTGTAAATATTGGTGTAGCTATACGAGTAATTTTAATCCGAGACGCTGAGCAGGAGACAATTCTTTAATTGTTACCTCTGTGGTTTCACACATAATGTGCATTTGATAACTGAAGGAGTTCATTTGACCTGATTTGCCCCTTTGAATGACTTTTTTGGTGCAAAGGAGACAGGTTGATTTGTTCATATTATATATATATATAATATATATATATAAATCAGTTTTGCATCATTCATATTACTATTGATTTCGCACACAAAGAAAGATAATTCTGTCATCATTTACTCACTTGCATATCATTCTAAATCTACAGTATATTGTTCATTTGTTGATAGTACACAAATATGCTATATTGGATGTTTAAAGTATGATGGAAATGACAAAAAAGCATCACCCACTAAAAGTCCATTTAAAATGGGACACACATTTAGAGAGATTTGTATGTGGATTTAATCATTTTAAGACTTAAAGGAGTAGTTCACTTCTGAAAAAAACTTTTGATGATAATTTATTCACCCCCATGTCATCCAAGATGTCCATGTCATTCTTTCTTCAGTTGAAAAGAAATTAAGGTTTTTGATTAAAACATTCCAGGATTTTCTCCATATAATGCACTTCATTGGCAACCAAACAGTTCAAGGTTCAACTGAGTGTAAACTGCAAACTGTTCAAAGGGTTTTAAACGATTCCAGACGATGAATAAGGTTCTTATCAAGCGAAAAGATCGCTCATTTAAAAAAATAAATAACAAAGTTTAAGTTTTATAAGCTCAAATGCTCGCCTTGCTCTGTTCTGTGACGTGAATCTCCTGTTCGAACTCGTTTATCAAAATGAACAATTTTTTTTCCGAGTCATTTGGTTCATCTAACGAATGAAACGAACGAATTGACTCAGAAAAAGATTCGTTCATTTTGATGAACGAGTTCAAACATGAGAATCACACAGAACAGAGCAAGGCGACCATTTGAGCTTATAAAACTTAAACTTTGTTATCTATTTATTAAATGAGCGATCGTTTCGCTTGATAAGACCCTTATTTATGGTCTTGAATCGTTTAAAGCCCTTTGAACAGTTTGCAGTTTGCACTGAAACTGTCTTTTGGACCTTGCACCATTTGGTTCCCAGTGAACTGCATTATATGGAGAAAAATCCTGGAATGTTTTAATCAAAAACCTTAATTTCTTTTCGACTGAAGAAAGAATGACATGGACATCTTGGATGACATGGGGGTGAGTAAATTATCAGCAAAAGTTTTTTAAAAAGTGAACTACTTTAAATTTTGGTCTGTTCCTCACAAAAAAAAACCTATTGTATGAATAAAGCGCTATTAACAACTAACTAAGAACTAAGATGGATTTTGTCATTTTAATGCTTAAAGCGATAGTGCACCCAAGAATAAATAAATTCTGTCCATCAACTGTTTGGTTACCAACATTCTTCAAAATATTTTCCTTTGTGTTCGGCAGACGAAACAAACTCAAAGAAAAGAAACAGGTTTGGATGATGACAGAATTTATTTATTTATTGGTGAACTATCCCTTTAACAGCCTTTGGTCACCATTAACTTTCACTGTATGGAAAGGTGCAGCATGAACATTCAGCCTAATATCTTCTTTTGCATTCCACAGAAGAAAGAAAGTCATACATGTTTGGAACGAAATGAGGATGAGTAAATGATGACAGAGTTTTCATTTTCAGATGAGCTAACCCTTTAAATAAAACTACAGGCAAATAAAGACATCCAAACAAGCCTGAAAAGCAATTTCAAATACTGATTTCATGAATATTCCCCTGAGCATTAACTCTTAGGCCTCAGTCTCACATATGATATAGGCCCATCTTTCGATCTCTGGCTTCCTTTTCTATGCGATTTGCATGTACAGTGCAGTCACAAGGATTCTCATCCGGTCTCAACCCACAACACTTTTATATTTAGTCAAAAGACATTTAAGATGCAGCACGGTAAGACCTCAGCAAGTCTCGCGAGCACCATTTTAGCCGGCAAATTTACGAGGCATAGAAAACGTCTCAAAATGGAAAAAGGAAGTGGTCAGAGGCCTGTGCAGCAAAGCATCATGTTCAAGAGCATCACGCAACGTGACACCCAAAAGAGAGTCCGATGAAAAAATATAATAATATTTTCAATAAAGTGTAATTTACTTCCTTATTCCTTATTATTCCTGAACATTCCTTATTATCTAGATTATCACTGTAAAAAAATATTGTTGGTTTAACTTAAAAAAATAAGTTGATTTTAAGTTGATTGAAATGGAAAAAGTGAGTTAATACAATGAAGCAGATTGATTTAATCATCAAAAACTCAAAAAAAAATGTTATCTGAGCTAAATAAATTATTTAAGTTGATTTGACAAAAGAAAAAAAATGTTGTGATAACAAATCTCTGAAATATTTTTTTTACAGTGTATGTACATTTATACAATATTATATATATATATATACCGGAACCGCAATCAAATATGAATTTGCTGAAAATATTATAAACAAATATATTATAAAATCATAATTTTTTTATTAATATTTTCAAAAAAGTGTTATTTACTAAGAAAACCTTATTATATTATATGGATAGTAATTTCATATGAATTTACTTATTCATTTACATTAATACAAATATTATTAAACCTCTATAATTTACAATTAAAAATGTACATATATTGTATTATATTATATTATTACATTATTTTGCTAAATGTACAAAAATAGATTTATTTTAAGGTGTCATTGTCAGTGTAATTATACATTTAAATACTGAGTAATAATAATTGACTACATGTACTTACTATATGGTTATGATTAGGTTTTGGTATAGGGTTAGTTGCATGTAATTATGCATAACTTGTAGTTATTACAATAGTAACTACATGTAACTACAAGGTAACTGTAAAAAAAAAAGTCTCGGTTGGATACAAAAAGGATTCTTCACAGGAACAACCCAAGAGCTTTTACTTTTAAGACAGCAGAACAGAACTCAATAAAATAACAAATAGATTGTCAACACCATGCATCAAAATGTGGCTTGATTGACTGACAGCTCGGCCTCTACATCGTTCACATCTAGCAGAACCTCAAGCAAGCTCGAGGGGACACACCCAAAGCAACCTGATCTTTGACAGCTCCTTTACCAGGTAACACAAACTAGAGCCCAACACACTTCGCAAGTGTCCCGTCCGCCACAGACCCTTCTGAAAATTCCAGTTAAACATTTTGCAAAGCGCTCTTTTGCAATATTTCGCCTCCACTCTGATGCTTTACAAAGCAACAACTTCTCACTTTGGCAGTCGAAAGAAAATTCCCCTTCTTGGTCAACGATGAAAGCGATTCTCGATAACACTGCTAATAATTCCAGATATAAATACTTCAAATAAATTGTTCGTCACCAAGGTTTAAATCATCATTGACATCCGTCAAGATTCGAGGACTCACTCATTCCCCAATTCAGTACTTAACTTATGACTATGATTGTAAATGAGATTCAGTAAACTATATTTACTATCCAGAGAGATGTGCTATATTACACAACACAAAAACTGGACCAAACTATGAATGAATCTAGACCATTAGTTCTCAAAATCAGTCACAAAATGCCAAATAAAAAAAGTTATATTTACATATATAGTACACACATGCCATATAAACACACATTCACCAGTAAAAATGTATATATGTCTATATATAAAAACCTATACAATTTTGTACTTACATAGGACCAAGCATAGGACCAAAACCAAGGGTCCTAGTGCAAAATATCTCGCCATATCCAAGGGTTCAAAGACACCATATGTCCTATTTGAAAAAGACACAGATCTAGGTTAACCATTAGAATGCGTAATGGCTTTCTGGTCTCTCTTGCTCTGTTTTCATGTAATCTTACGTGTTCTTATGCGTCTAATCAGTCGGTCCGGTTGCCGGTGAGTGTTCACCTTCCAAAAAAATCCTTAAGCTGTTTTTTGGGTCTTGAGACAGCAGAGCAGTGCCAGAGACACTCTCCCCTTCAGCTTTGCGTTAAGGCCCTTTCTTAACAGGAAGTTGCATTTTCATCTACGCCACACATCTCTCGCCTTGTACTGTGTCATGTCCTTCAAATGGGAAATGAGAGAATTGTCTCATTTTTGCTTTTGCTTTTGACGACCTGCCTTCATAGTGAGCAGCATCTTCAAAAGATTTTGAATTAAAATCACCTTCTCTTGAATGTGTGAACCATTCAAGTAAATGTCATCAATGAAGCAGTAATTGTTAGATACAAAGATAATAAATTAAATTAGTCAGACAGCATTTGCTAAATTTTTATACATACTTTATTTTACTCTATATATGCAGTGGCAATTAGAAAGCATAATACATCAAATGAAAATAGGGAAATTATGGTTACTTAATATTATTTACTTCACCAAACAAAACAGTGAGAAGCAAGACGGTAATTATGGGAAATTCATTTTTAGTTTTGTTGATGTTGTAAATGTAATGTATGTATTACATGAACGTGTTAGCTATCACGAATCAGTAACACTTTACAATAAGGTTTCATTAATTAAAAATGAACTGCACTTCTACAGCATTTATTAATCTTAGTTAATATTAATTTCAGCATTTACTAAAACATTCAAATCAAAAGTTGTATTTTTTATCATTAGTTAATGCAATGACTGTGACAGCATGAATAAAAAATAAGCCTAACAGTTGTAGTATTAACTAAGATTAACAAACACAGTCACAAATGTGTTGCTCATTATTCATACATGAATAATGAACAAATTAACCTTATTGTCAAGCGTTACTATAAAATCAAAGATCTAAATTCCTTACAATTTAGAGTTGGACATGGACTTAAGATTTCATTTAACTAGATGTAACATTACTTCCCTAAGCTAATAACACTTGCTATGGCCTTGGATAAAAACGAATGACACTGTCACTCAGAATGCGTCTGAAATCGAGTTATACTTGTATTATAGATAGTTAAGTATAAGTTACATGCCGCTGCAACTTTTAGAGTAGCATGGTAGATTAAATGTAATTTTCTGTATTAGCTTAAACGTTACCTGCTGCTCATGTAGTTTGAAGAATCACACGAGCCGCGAACTGCTGCGTACGTGCCTACCAGAACCATTAAATGCGTACGAGGCGTTGCAAAGGAAACTCAATTTTTTTAAATAGAACATTTGTTTGTATTATTATTGATCGTGCGAAGGCTGTGTAAATGTATTGTTATTTATTATAATACTTATTATTACTGTATACAATTATCAGAAAATGGCACAATACATGTTGAGGCAACCACCCTTTGTATTGGTACATCCGTGCCGCGAGATGTTTCAATGGGGACATATCACACCCGCAAACGGCGAGACGGCAACCATTCAACCCGAAAGAAGTCATATAACCATTTCAATAACTCTAAATCTGTTCAGTTAATCTAAAAAAACTGCATTGGATCATGTTAACATTAAAAACACAGATAGCAGGGATATTAGGTTGCTGTCACTTTAAGACAATGTACAGATCCAAAACACTGCCACTATTACATTTGTTGTCTTTCTCGGCTGTATAAGTTCGCTTAAGGCATAACAGACTGCTAGGATAATCATCAAGACGGACATATTTTTTGTGTGAATTTGTCCATTCAAGCATAAGACTTGAAAGAGGACTCAATATTTGATTTAGAAGAATATTAACATCTTTACCAGAGACCTTAAACAGTGGCTGAAATCGGGCCAAAGTTGTTCCCATGTCTAATTGATTTTTTTTTTATCTGTACTAAAAGTCCCTATGGACAGGTGTTGAAAATTAGCACATGTGCTATTACACTTTAAACAATGCATCTGGTTCGTCCAATGTTATTGTTATGTCCATATTAAATAAATAAAATAAATAAAAAAATAATATGATTGGTCCAGGTTTGCGCGCTTCGATGTACGCACACGCGCACACACAAATCTTATCACAGCACGTGCAAGTTCTCTTTCAAGTCTTGCTCTTGAATGTTTAAATTGGAAAGGCTTACATGAGTTTAACACAATGTGTGCAGTTCATTTCTCACCTGTGCTCGCGACCGATCAACACCCGAATAATGATGACGCAATTACCTGGTCATGTTCGAGCAAACAGCACTCGCATTGAACAAAGTTTACAAGGACTGACAGTTTTGTTCATGTTTTAATGAGTATCGCTGTTGTGATGTATTGTTCAACCCGGTCTCATCCCAAATCGTCATATAACTGACGTTTTGGGACGTCTTTTGACCATACGTCAATATTCGCCTTTTTAGGGCCCCCTTAAACGTCGGTAGATGAGGTTATGGGATCCTAACTCTACCCCATACCTAAACTTAACCCTAAACCTAACCCGTCACCTAACTGACGTTAAAGGTAAAGCGTCAGTTGTATGACGGCCCGGGATCGCCATCTACCGACGTTTAAGGGGGCCCTAAAAAGGCGGATATTGACGTATGGTCAAAATACGTCCCAAAACGTCAGTTATATGACGATTTGGGATGAGACTGTGTTATATTGTTAGGAAGCCAGCATGTGCATCCATCGAAAGAAACAGACGTTTTTTACGCGTTATATTATAGGTGCGTCATCAGATTTGAGAAAACCAAATCCGTTTTGTCCGTTTGGCAACAAGACAACTGTGTTGTCCAAGTAAACTCGAAAAACGTCAATATGTAAAAGTAATGACGTTATGCGCATGTGTATTACGTGTTCAGTCTATATGTGCGTAGGCTACGTAGTGTTTCTTTACAAAGTGACGACTACTGGCCTGGCATGAATTATCAACGCGTTCTCATCCCAAAGCGCCATATAGGACGCTTTTGCAAAAGCGTAAATATCCAACGCACATGGCACCCTTTAACGTCTAATGAGACGCTTCGGTTATGGCTAAAGGCCAATTTATACTTCTGCGTCAAGGGTACGCCGTAGTGTACGGCGTTGGCTTCGCACGCAGTCGACGCCGTTGTGAGCATTTATACTTCTGCGTTCAGGTATTGGTTGCTCTGCAGTACTGCTCCGAAACGCTAGGAGGCAGCGGAGGGTTTTAATGTTCCACTGTGCTTACATTCCTCGCGGCTAGGCTACTACAAGCAATAGCGACTGAAAGAGAGTGGATCATGTTGGAGTTGGAGCTTATTGGGGTGGAAAAACAGTTCACTTTAGTGAAATTACTAAAACTGTAAGGCAGAAATGAGAGAAGACGTCGGAGGAGATGGTACGTGTGGAAATGCGTGAGAAGGTACGTGCGGAAATGCGTATGAGGAAATACGATGCTACCAAGCCGACCAATCACCGATCTTGCGGTCCGCGTCGTCGCGACGTGTAGTTACATTTTTGAAGAGGTGCGCGTCAGGCAACGCGGAAGGGTACGCGGTATGGGACGCGTCTGTGCGTATGCTACGCCGTACCTACTGCGCGCACCCTACGCAGAAGTATAAATTGGCCTTAAGTTTAGGTAAGGTGTAGGATAAGGGTTAGACCACTAGGGGGCGCCTTCTGCCCAAATTTATCTGCGTCTCATTTCACATTAAAGGGTGCCATGTGCGTTGGATATTTACGCTTTTGCAAAAGCGTCCTATATGGCACTTTGAAATAAGAACGGGGATCTGTCGAGTGAATGAGGATCGTTTTTGTCTGTATATTCAGAATTTTCAAAACCACAACTGAAAAATGTTTACATTTTTAGAACAACTTTGTCATGTGAACTTTGGGATGTCCACTAAGGCCAACTAATAACCTTAGTGAACATACTGTACCAAAAGAAGGGCATTTTCTCTAGGGGCAGTGCCTTGTAAATTTTTGGGGGATTTTTGGAAGATAAATTACACCAAGGAACATTATAGAATATGGGATAAAGGAGTGATTAAATACATTTTGGGATCAGTGAGATGGCAGTGAGAACCTGACGAGGACGAAATAAAAGCAAATATTCACACATAAGTCATGATCTACTGTATCAAGTCCACAAATAGTCTACAAATCAGCCTGGGTTGATCGAAATTAGATTAGATTGGTTACAAACTAATGATCTGTGAGCGAGGCGGCACTCTGGTCTTTTTTAACGTGCCTGTGACCTTTATGATAAATGCGGCAATCCTATACAGAGAATCTGACCTATGGTCTGAAAAGGACAGTAACTTAATAAACTCCAAACCCAGTATGACTGCCTCCTCGTTTCGTAAAACCACCAAGTATTATATATTTTACCATTGCTTCCTTAAATAACAGTCTTTAATGGGTTTTTCACACTGTAACTATTTTAGAAAAACGATACGGTACAAAAGCGGTGGTTCCTTAAGCCTTTTTGTACCCTATAACTTAATTATGATAGCATAAATGCAATCCATATATTCTATTTTAAGATCTCTTTGTATGACGAGCATAATTTATGCACTGACTGGATGCTTAAAATACCAAACTAATCTGATTGTTTTGTGAAAAGTAGCTCATGTAGCCTACTCACTAAAAAGTTTCATTAAACATTGTGATATTGATATTTTATTACCCGCAGTAAACCTTAATGACTCAATGTGACATCCAACTCAATTTTCTTCTCTTGCGTGGCTTACAAAACTTAAGCAGCGTTGCTTCTTGACTATTTCTCACTTTCCAAGCCCTCTGCATGTAGGCAGCGCTGCAAGATACCACTTCCTTGCCTGCTCTTTTTTCTCTCCTCTCTTTTTTTGGTTTCCCGCCCGTTTGAGGAAGTAGCACAGAGACAAAGACGTGCAAAGATGAAAACTCAAAAAGACAACCTACTGACTGTACTAACAGACACCAGAGTAATGGACTTCAAATATTTGAGGGACCGATTATCAAAGAGATTGATTATTTAAGATCAGGATTCAGGACCAAATCTAATACAATGCATCTAAAATACAGTGATAATTATGTGTGTGTGTGTGTGAATTCCTCTTTTTTTTAACTTCTCTATACTACTTTAAGAGAAACCATAGGCAAAATGAATCATTTCTTCCACTTTTTTTGTCGCTCACATCACTTAAATACTCAGAAGATGCGTGCCGAAAAGCTGAAATGCCGATGCGAGACTGAAAAATCAACTTCCTGTTAA